GATCGTCTGGTCTTGTCGGTTCTTTGCGCGCACTTCTTCCGAGAGGTTACCATCGACGGTGTCCGGTCCCCAATTGCGCTCGGCACGACCTGGGCGACCATATTGGTTCGTGATGACCTGGCGATTCCTGGTAAAAGTCAAGTTAGTATCTGAAGTATGGCAGATTGCGAGAAGTACTTACCACCAGAAATCGATGAACTTGTTACTCAAGATACCTCCATGGCGGCATCGATCACGGTAGTAATCGCTCATACCCTCCCAGGGAATAACCGCAGCCAATCCCTTGGGCTTGCGCGCTGCCACACGCCACTGGGATCCAGCATAGTAGCTGATACCGAGTAGGCCGACCTTTCCAGAAGACCATGGCTGCTCAGCGGCCCATTCGACGACATCGAAGAAAGCCTCGCTTGTTCCTCGCGACATGGTATCCAAGAAGCCTGGAGACTGGCCCAAGCCACGTTCGTCGGCGCGCACGATGATGTAGTCGTGCTTCGTCCAGAAACCTGGGTCTGGCGTTTCCCATGCTGAGTGATCAGAGTGATGTTCGGGGTTGACTTCGGCGAACGACTTTCCGTGAAAGCTGGTGATGTTAGCTGCTGCACGGCTGAGAACCTCCGTTTCGACTTACTCCTTGTAGTGGATGTCCTTTCCATACGGTCCGTACGTCACCAGCACAGGAAGCTTCGTGCCCTCCTTCGTGGACTTCGGCCGGTACACGTTGCATCGAATGATGCCTTTTGAGGATGTCTTCAGCGGCACTGCGACGTTCTGCTCGTACAGGTAGGGAAACGACGACTCGTCAATCGAGTAAGCATCTTTGATTTCTAGCTGGTCAGACATCTTGCGTATTTGGTACTTGGGAAGAAAGAAACATACTTCATAAAGCATTTGGATATATACATCATATTGCGACGCGTAGTGGATGCTTGTGCCGACAACGCGCCGCTGGTAAGGTGCGGCGGCAGTGTTCGAGGGGCACGTTCGGAATGTGGAGGTGCCACCTTCCAATTGGCGCTTCACCCACAGACACGCGAACAGATGGAACACGCCGTCTTACAGACCCAACATCTGGCACTCGATCTGAACTCGTACGAGCTCTTCACTTTTGTTTACCTCGGGACAATTGATCGACCGGCGTCAGGTGAGCTTTCGCTATCTGTACTAGCAATGCCATTCTAATTTCGGTCATTAAGAACAATCGTATGTCGCCCTCATACGATGTCAGAAAATATATGGTTGAAGCTGTTTATGACACAGCACGGTTCAGAGTACGATGATGTATATGCGCGACGATGCGGTGGCTTCTTGTATCTACAAGTAGTACTGCGACTACGACGATGCTGGAACACCCTGCATGTTTCCGTAGTCCTCCTTCAGGGCCTCACCGCCGATCTCTACTGGTTTACATTCTTGTAGAACATACATCATGCGTCCCCAAGACGTGGTGCTGGTGTTTCTCCAAGCGTGCATTGTGCCCCTCTGAATCGCAACATCTCCTCTCTTCATCAACCTTGTCTCTCCCGAATCCAGCACCAACTCCATCTCACCTTCCAGCACGACACCGTAGTCAAGAGAGACTGTGCGATGCATAGGTGAAAGATGACCAGGTGCTACATCTACAAAGCGTAGCACTGTTCCTCCTCCAACGACCAGACCTGGAGACGACTCGAGGTAAGGCTTGTAAACCGCAAGGTCGGCGTCTTTGTTCAGATCGACGGGAAAGCCCTTGGTAACGTATCCAAGCCGGAAGTCGGCATTGGGAATGTGGTCGACCTTGGCTTCTTCTGGGACTGCATCGGAGAATATGGCTTTCTTGGTTGTGGGATCGTGGGTTGTGATGAAGCGGTTAACCTTAGGAAGGTCATTGGCGATTTGGGGTTTGGAGGCCATTTTCGGAGGTGATCTCGTGGTATAGAGGCAATTGATCGCCAAGATTCTCGGATTGTAGTGTATGAGTACAGACGCTTCGTGTGATTTGAAAGAAGATTCAAGACCTGATGATCATGAACATCTCAAACGCGTCGCGTGGAACCCGTCTAGTGAACTCATATACAGGATCCCGATGTGGAGGGCAGAGACCCTGCATCCGCCATCTGCCGGCCCAGGCTCGGTAAATCCCGTGCGGGGTTCTGCATAGTACGCAAGCTTCTCCAACTGTTTTGAATAGAGTTGTTAGATGGGTATGTACGAAAATCTTCGATTTGGAGTCAGGTGTAAGCAAGCAACACAGACTGCACTGCTTGGGAGCGAAGATGACGCGTGTCCTGCTTATCGATTGACGGACGCGCTTGCCCACTTCGGTACTAGACCGAACGCGTACGGCCGAAGGTTGAAGGTTGTCCCGCGAAGTTTGGACTGGACGCGATCAATAGCTGCATCAACGTCAGCCGGATAACCATGGAACGCTCAGTCTCCACTCTCGACCATTGCCGTGTTCAGCTCCGGACATATTAGCTTACAGGAGTTGATGGGATGTGGAGGAGCTGTATCCGAGATGGTAATCCCCACCTACACAATGTCTCGCGAGCTTAGGTTCGGGTTAATGTTGGTAACTGTAGTCTGGAATCTGAGTATTGCGAGTTGGATAACGTGTATCGCTCTTTGCTAACAAGTCGACCGAAATCTTGACACCAGAATACCTAAGACTCACGACACAATGGCAGACAATTACGCATCGCACTTCGGTGTCAACAACATCCCATACGGTATCGCAAGCTCTTCGAAGCGCTCTGCACCACAGTGTGCCACGCGCATCGGCGACGAGGTCATCTTCCTCGCAGAGCTCGCGGAGCATGATTCCCTCAAAACCATCTCAGCACCGCTATCCTCCGTCTTCCGCGAATCCAAGTTGAACACATTCGCTGCGCTGGGGAAAGACATACAAAGTCAAGTACGCTCTGCGATACAAGAAGCATACAAGAGCAGGTCACACGCCAATTGTTCAGAGAACATCAGCGATGTTACGCTCCACATGCCAGTCAGTGTCGGAGACTTCACAGACTACAGCGCTTCAGCGAACCATGTTCTGAATGCAGGAGAAGCGGTGCAAGGAGTTCGTGCCTATCCACCTGCTTTCATGAAATACCCCGTGGGCTATGCAGGCCGGTCGAGTTCAATCACAGTCTCAGGGGCACCCGTCACAAGACCTCTGGGTCAGTTCATCGAGGACTACACCGTTCCAGAGAAGAAGATCATATTTGGCCCGTCACGCGGCTTGGACTACGAGATGGAAATCGCGGCAGTCATCGGCAAACCCGTCCAGGCTGGGACGTATCTTAACGCAAAGGACGCGGATGACCATATCTTCGGACTGGTTCTGCTGAACGATTGGAGCGCGAGAGATATCCAAGGCTTAGAGATGAATCCGCTTGGGCCTTTCAACGGAAAGAACTTTATGACTTCAATCACCCCTTGGGTCGTTACGCTAGAAGCATTGAAGCCCCATGAGGTCTCGGCCCCGCCTCGTATAGAGCCTGTAGCTTCCTTCATGGACGATCCCAACAGCATCAACTACAACATCCAGCTTGAAGGTCAGATCATACGAAACGGTACTCAGACTACGACCTGCAAGGTTGGCTTCGAGACGATGTACTGGACCTTCAGGCATATGTTAGCGCACCACACTATCGGCGGCTGTGGACTCCGCACGGGAGATCTGGTAGCTAGCGGGACAGTGTCGGGCGAACAAGAACATGAACATGGATGTTTGCTCGAACTGACTAAGAACGGCAAGGCTCCAAGCAAACTGAGCGATGGATCTGAGCTACGCTACCTCAATGATGGGGACGAGGTGCGCTACACAGGCGTTGTTGGAGATGGAAGCACTGGTGTCGGGTTTGGAGTATGTGTTGGCACAGTGAAGCCCGCCCGGAAGGTTTAAGAGCTTTCGGATGCAAGTAGGCTGAGCAATCGTAGTCTATCCTCTGGGTGGGTGACCAGTGGTTGGGTAGCGCCCTGGTTAATAATTGGTCGGCAAGCGTGGTACAGATGCGAGTGGCTGCATACTACCACCGGAGAGATCATTGAATTCAAGCCTTCCAATGAATCTTCGGTCCTTTGGGCCTTGCACATTGGACCTTAAATATCTCTAGCCACACGAAGCCCAGCCTCGTGAGCTTTCTCGCACACAGCCCTTGAGTTTCAGCTTTCATCACACTCCTTGACGCTCTCAGATATTGCACTTTCAACTCTGCGTGAATTCTCCTCAACCCATTGCAGTTTCTCAACCATACGGAGGCCGGAAGAGACTGTTACACATGTGCTTCGCGCACAGCCTACCTAGGTAACCGTCTGCAGGGCTGAGCCAGCTTTGGACTCTGCGTAGACACAGCAACCACAACCATGGCAGAGTGAGTCCGATACAACCTTGCTCGAGATGTTGCATGTTTACAATCAAGTCTTAACATATCATCCAGATTCTCTCAGACTTACCTGCCGGATCGACCATCGAAGCTCGCGTTCGGGAAACGTCTTTCTCACAAGTTCAAGCCAAAGAAAGGGAGACCCAAACAGTCGATAACCGAGTCATCTTCCGTCACGCCTAATGCCAGTCATCCTCAAGTTGCACTGCCAGTGTCTTGCGCGCGAGAACCACCTATGGCTGACCACGTGCGCACGCGCCGGATTACGTCACAGCCCGCCCCACGATCGCTTCTGAAGACTCGTCCCCAAACACAACAAAGCGAAGCTGTCCAGCCTGGAAGAAGTCTCAGCATCGCTTCGCTTGTGCTGCCCGAGCCACACCTTGTATACCCAATCTCCGCGCAACCATCTTCGTACGATCCTTTACAGTCGGATGAACAAGGCGACGTGCCCCGGATACATAGGAAGGAACCTCCACAGTTGACAGTGAGAGACGCACTCACCGAGCAGTGGGGGAAGCTGCGACTGCCAAATGTGCCACTCGCACCTGCCGACTTGTCAACGTCTAGTAGTGCAACGAACTTCTCACTTCCCCTCCAATCTTCTACCTCAACCAAGACCGTAGCTGCCAAAGCAGCATGGAACAGAATGGCGGTCTCGAGTCCCATCTTGCCGAGCTTTCGAGAGGAGCCGCTTTCACAAACGACACAGCCGGGTGTGAACCGCCCTCGTCAGGGCCAGACACATAGCGAACCCATAATGATCTACGATGACAGTGAACTTGATGCGACTGCAGGCTCGAACCGCCCTGGAGGCAATTTCGAAAACACAAACTTCTTCCAGTCAGGCGGATTATCACGACAGTCGCTGAATCGACGAAGAACTCGAAAGGCGAGGTTTCTACGAATGAGGCCTGACCATCGATGTCAAAGTCCTGATTCATCGAGCAGTGGCTCTGAAGATATGCTAACACCCGATAGCTCGGACAGCTCAGAGAGTTCGGAGTTTGACCTTGCAGCTCGTGTTGCGCAAATCGAGAACCAGAACCTAATCCGAGCCACTAGATGTACACAAGGGTGGGGGATTCCTCGGGGAGATACAGATTACGCAGCTCAGGAAGAGCAAGACCGTCTGTTGGCTGAGCATCTGCAACGGGAAGAGGATGCTACCTATCGAACTACAGCGTCGCGCATTGCGGAAGAGTCTGAACTACCCGCACCTCGAGCTGCGTCTCCTCGGGTACCGTCTCAAAAGAGTGGACGATTGGCCAGTTTGCGGCGGGCCATTACCAACATCGGCACACGAGAGCATCCTATCGATCTAGACCCGGAACCCGACGAGCCTAAAGTTATTGTTCCCGAAAGGGCGCGAATCCAAGACTATGTGGCGCTATACGGAGAGCCTATGGATATTGATGGTGTATCGCCTTTCCATCAACACAACGCAAGGCCGGTCGATACACCACAGGCGACGAGCACCTACGTAGATGAGAGGACGCATCTGCGGAGTCGTGATTGCGTCGTCTGTGGCGATAGCGTTCATGTTGTCGACCTACCCTCTCTTGCTGAATGTGATCATCGACCGGAGACGTGTGCGGACTGTTACTCAGGATGGATATCCGCGCAGCTCCAAAGCAGTAGCTGGCGCGAAGCCAAATGTCCAGGAAACAAGTGCAAGACAGTGCTGTCATACCATGAGATCCGGCTATACGCGCAACCGGAGACCTTCCAGCAATACGACACATTCATCGCCCGAGCAGCTTTCAGCGAAGATCGTGAGTCGTAGCAAAAACACTTTTAGGTTTCAAAAGCTGACAATGGCACAGCCAACTTTCGATGGTGTCGAGCGTGTGACTTCGGTCAGATCCACATGAGCGGTGTCGAAGGCAACATCTTTACATGTGTAGCATGTGGACACAAAGTCTGTATCATCCACGAGAACACATGGCATGAAGGTGAAACTTGTGAGGAGTTTGAATATCGATCTTCTGGTCGCAAGGAGCGAGACCAGAGAGCACAAGAAGAAGCGAGTCTTCAAGCGATTGGGAAGCTGACCAAGAAGTGTCCCGGTCCCGGATGTACGTGGAATATTGAGAAGAACGATGGCTGCGACCACATGACGTGTAAGTTTCGCGTTGCTTTCGACTTCACTGATCGTTTGCTGACTTTCATAGGCTCGAAATGCCGCTTTGAGTTTTGCTGGATCTGTCTTTGCAACTACAACAACGTCAGGCGAGTGGGCAACTCGGCCCACACGACGACGTGCAAATACCACACAGGAAGACTGGTGTAGCGGTGATGGCGGAGAATTTCATTGTAGCGAACTTCGTACTTTCGCTAAGTACATGGCGGTCCTGGAAAACTTCTAGCATCATTTAGCATTTTAGGTATTTGCAACGATTACGACGTCATGTCACTCTCTCAGACTTCACGTCGCGACGTCAGGCACTGCAAAATTACATCCGTATAGACCGTAATTGCCAGTAGCGTCCCATGTTGATGTCACGGACTCGGGCCCTACGCGCTCCGATTGGCGCAAATTACCCCTAGCCCTGAGCAACTCCCCGAATTCATACTACTTGTCAACAAACACAAAGACTTCACCGCCGCTTTTTGTGCCATTGGTGATTCGCGCGGTGTACATAGCCTTTATGATCGTGCTGTGACGGCATTTGTACCTTTTTCAGCGGCAGTTCTTCCTCTTCATATCTTGTCATCTTTGCCAAAAATTCGGCTTCATCTTTTTCGCGTCTGAACCCCTTGAAACAGCGCGTCGCCACACCCGCACCTACATTAGCCATGTCAATGCGAGTGACACGGTCGCAGGCCGGCAAGACGCCCCAGTGAGTGAATGCCAGGTCGCGCGTGCATACTGTGCAGACATGTGCATTAGTTGCTGACATGCATAACGCAGAAAGCCTGACCGTCCTGGCTTTGTCGAGACCCCCGGGCGCAGAAAGTCGCAACGCAAATCGCTTGCGTCCGATGTCGACGACGGATACGAATCAACGCCCGAGCCAGAGAACTTCTTGAAGCCCCTCCGATCTGGCGACAGCGATGTGAAGCACGAAGTCGAGGAAAAGAGCAATGGCCATGCCAACGGAAACGGACACGCCAACGGCTACACGAATGGACATACGAATGGAAACGCAAACGGGCGTACAAAGAGCGAAAAGGAGATCGTCGAGCTGGACTACAAGATGGAGGCGGAAAAGTTCTTCTCGCCAAAGGACAAGTCCGGCCTGCACGAGTTCGGAGGCGCCATTGGTATGAGCAGCATGATGATCTGCTTCCCAGCGCTCATGTACTACATGTGGATTGGAGCGACCTTCTACGACGGCAAATTCCCTACACCGACCGCGGGTCAGAGCTACGGCGACTTCTTTGGACACATGTGGTATCTGGTAAAGACCGAGGCGTTCCCGAACAACAAAGCATGGCAGATCTACTGGTTCTTTGGACTCATGCAGATGGCCTTCTACATGCTCATGCCGGGTGTCTACCGCAAGGGCAAGGCTCTGCCTCATCTTGGTGGAAAGCAGTTGGACTACTACTGCTCGGCCATGTGGTCTTTCTACTCCAGCATTGTCATCATGTTGACCCTCCACTTCACTGGTGTCTTCAAGCTGTACACTCTGATTGACGAGTTCGGCCACATCATGAGCGTAGCCATCCTTTCAGGCTTCCTCTGCTCGACAATCGCATACGTTTCAGCTCGCGTCCGCGGCGCTGACCTTCGGATGACTGACAACCCCATTGTCGATTTCTTCCTTGGTGCGGAGCTCAACCCCAGGCTTTTCGGCATTCTGGACTTCAAGATGTTCCTCGAGGTCCGCATTCCGTGGTTCATCCTCTTCTTCCTTTCGCTCGGTACCTGCTTGAAGCAGTACGAACAGTATGGCTACGTATCCATAGAAGCCATCTTCCTGCTCTTTGCCCACTACCTGTATGCCGGCGCCTGCGCAAAGGGAGAGCACCTCATCATCACAACTTGGGACATGTACTACGAGAAACTCGGCTTCATGCTCATCTTCTGGAACATGGCTGGTGTGCCTCTGTCGTACTGCCACTGCACCCTGTTCATCGCCAACCACCACCCATCCGAATACCAACTCCCGACCTGGTTCACAGCCCTCCTCACCCTTGCCTACCTTGGCGTCTACTACATCTGGGACACGACCAACTCGCAGAAGAACCAGTTCCGTCAAGAGGAGCGTGGTGTTGTCGACGAGCGCACTACCTTCCCCTACTTCAAGTACGGACGCATCGCCAACCCCAAGACCATCCAGACATCGCACGGCAACAAGATTCTGGCTGATGGCTGGTACGGCAAGGCGCGTAAGATTCACTACACGTGCGATTTGTTCTTTGCAATCAGCTGGGGTCTTATTACTGGTTTCAGCAGCCCGTTCCCATGGTTCTACTCGGTGTTCTTTGCGGGTATGATCATCCACAGGGCGCTGAGAGATATTGAGAAGTGTCGGGAGAAGTACGGCGAGGCATGGAAGGAGTATGAGAGGCAGGTGCCTTATTTGTTCATTCCGGTAAGTTCAACATATCGCGTCTTGACTGAATCTTCGCTAATATATCTGCAGTACGTGTTTTAAGTACATACCGGACCGTCGCTTTGATCTTTTACCATCTCGCGAGTCTTCGGACACCTTTTGCGCGACGGACCATTTTGTAGTATACCATAGCATTCTTCTCGCATTTCGACGGTCGTGGCTAGGGTGGATAGCATTGTAATGGTTGTAATGGCTGTAATGGCAGTAGTAATGTATGATGTAGCAATTAGCTTGAGCAACAACTGATGTGACACGATGCGCCATCCAAGTGTCTGTCTAGACACGCGAACCCCTACGCCTGCCAAGCCTTGCGTCAGCGTGCGTGCGGGCCAAAAGTTCAGACCCTCACGCCTCGTATCCGCAAAGTGTCCTCCCCTCTCAGCCCAACCCAACAACCCGCCCAAGTCGCCCCCCAGCGCACCACCACCCACCATGGACGCCCTCAAATCCGCCATCCAACCCATAACGCACAACCTGCCCCAACCCATCGCCGACGTCGGCATCTCGCTCCTCGGCCCCAAATGCTACAAGACGCTCATCTACAACGTCGACATCACGGCCACGGAATGCGTCAAACTCGCCATCTCCAAGGGCCTCGGCATCGGCATCATCGGCGCCTCCTCCATCGTCAAGATCCCGCAGCTCCTCAAACTGCTCAACTCGCAGTCCGCCGAGGGCCTCTCCTTCCTGTCCTACCTCCTCGAATCGAGCAGCTACCTCATTAGCCTTGCGTACAACGTGCGCCACGGATTCCCGTTTAGCACGTATGGCGAGACGGCGCTTATTCTCGTGCAGAATATCGCTATTGCGAGTTTGGTGTTGAAATACAGTGGACGGGGTGTGGGCGTTGCGGGATGGGTTGGGGGGTTGGCGGCGGCGGGCGCGGCGCTGTTTAATGACCAGTGGGTTGACAATGAGAAGTTGAGCTTGTTTCAGGCGACGGCTGGTGTGTTGGGTGTTGCAAGCAAGGTGCCTCAGATTCTGACGGTGTGGAGTGAGGGTGGGACGGGCCAGTTGAGCGCTTTTGCTGTAAGTTTTCATGTTTCTACGATACAGGAAATGGATTTTGTGGCTAACATGGTTACAGGTGGTCAACTACCTCCTCGGTTCCCTGTCTCGAATCTTTACTACCCTCCAGGAAGTCGACGACCCGCTTATCCTCTACGGCTTCATCGCTGGCTTCGCCCTCAACGCTATCCTCTTCTGCCAGGTCGTGTACTACTGGAACGCGCCCGCGTCCAAGAAGACGGAGTCAAAGAAATTGGAAAAGCCCATCGCGGCTGACAGGAAGGAAATGGCGCGTGCCGTCTCGAGCGGTGCTACACCTTCGTATGCGAATGCCGCGGGCAAGAGTCCAAGCACAAGACGCAGGGGATAGGCTCATTCCTCTGTTGCTTCTTTCTTGGGGATGTGGGCTGTTGAATTAGTAGTTGTAATACAGCCTTCACTTGCGCGACGTCTTGACCATGCTTGGGTGAAGATTACACGTATATTCAATACACTAACATGCTGACATATGCTTGGTCGCATGTCTAGAAAAACAACTCCGGGCGTTCTGCTAAACAAGGCTTTTCGGATTTCTATCAAATCTGCTGAGGCGCCGTACTTATAGCATGTGGCGGTGGCATTGGTGGAGCGCCTCTTCTGTCCGCCAAATCTCCCGTAGGTGACATTGTCCTCTGCTGATCTGGTATGATGGTGTTGACTGGAGGCGGTGGTGTAGGTACTGGGGAGAGACCCACTGGTGGGTGGTATCCAGTGTCTGTTAGCCTCCCAGATACTGGGTTATACACGCCAGTCCTTGCTTGCAACTCGTAGTTGTCGTCATCTTCTGAAGACGAATAGTCATAAGTGTCCGTTTGACGTTGGCGCGCAACATCTACTGCGAAGGGATTCGTAGCCGGCAACTGGTTCTGGTATGTGTGCACCTTCGACGTCATGGTGGACCCCATCGTGCCGGTTCGGTAGTTGCTTGATGCCGCTGTATCGCTGCGATCAACGCCATACTGCGATCCTGATTCCTGGCGTCTGCGTTGCGAGTTGTGGATCTGTTGGCGGAAGACGTTGCCAGTGTGTTCACCGCTACCTTCAGGCACTGCTGTTGTAGAAGAGTAACCAGACGCCTCTCCGCGTTCCTCGTCCACCGGCTTGGCCATGCGCTGCAGCGGTTGTACATCGTCGTCGACCATGATCGTAGGCTGCGGCGGTGCGCGGGATGCCT